AGGGGCGGAGGAGGGGGGGGGGGTCACATTATTATGTTTGGATCGGATGTCTTGAAGTCCCTTTTGTGAAAACTGCTGACAGTAGGCACATGTAGCTCTATATAGGGGTACAAAAACAACAGACCGCACGCACTGGTGACTCGCGCTAGTGGACAGGCTCGGGGAAATGATAGGCAACATTCTTCCGGCGATCTTGGACAATTCAATGACACGGCTCAGTGCGCGCATCGCAGAGCTGGGCGTAGATCTGCGTGAAGTGCTTCTGGACCCAGCCTGGCCCGGTTACACGCATGCATGCGCGCGCACGCTAAATACACACGGGACAGGGATGAGACAGAAGTGGGGTCACACGGCTTTCTTTCGCACAAACACACATACACACACATGTACACAAACGCACGTGTGCACACACGCACATACACACAAACGCGCTAACATTAACACGTACACACACATACACACACCTACATACACACACACGCACAGTATGGTATTAGTATTAGTATGAGTTTTACAGCACTTGCAACACAATAAGGTCATATAAGTGCCGAAGATTAGAGGTGTAACAACAGAGTAACAAACACAAAAAGAAGGAGGGGGAGATAAAGACAATAGACGTTTGATAGGAAAGAAGAAGCGAACCACACCACCAACCACCTACCCACACACACGCGCGCACACACACACACACACACACACACACACACACACACACACACACAACCAATATTATGTTAAACATTAATCATATACTGTATATACACACAAACACATACATATATGCATAAATCATATAATGCTCTTCAGTTTCCTCTGCCACAAAAAGAAACATTTCAATAAAAAAGGGTACTGTTTCCTCAGGCATTAATATTATGCAAACCGAACGCAATATCACTTCCCTCGCCCTATTTTTTTATACCCCTTCAAATTCCACGGTGATGAGCTGTCAATTTCCACCTATCAAAACAGGCACACACATGATACACGCACGCGGACACATACACACATGAAACTACAAACCAACATTAACATTGTGTTATTAAGAGCCTCAATAGGCACGCCCCAACGTTACTGAAGATCAATACAATGAAACGGGACTATCATCTGACAGATGACACTGAGTCACACTCAGAATGCGGGTGGTTGGCGAGTGCACTGGTGAGGTTTGCTCCTTCTTTCCAATCATCATCTGTCGTCCTTCTTTTCTTTGTACGTTACTCTCTAGCAGCATCTCTTATCTTCGGCCCTTCTTTCACCTCCTGTGAGTATTACAGCAAGTGACACAAATCACTTTCTAAAACTAAAAATAAACACTCAAGCTGACACAAACAAACACAACAGTACTGCTCCCAGACATCATTCCAAACTACCCCATATGTACGTTTCTACGTTTCACGTATCCTTCATGTTGTCCATTTATGCCCTTTTCTTTCCTTTGTGCATATATATGGGGGGGGAGGGGGGGGCGAGACAACACAAGGGGGCAGACGAGGAAACAGTTTTAAACAAATATTGGAGATCGGCCCGTGACCATCCGTCGACTCTTCACAAACATTGCCGTGCTCAGAGTTCATAGCTCAGAGGCTTCTATGAAGGCCGGTGACTGGGAGGTGTGTCGTGGGAGTTGGGTTGAGTAGGCCAGGACTGGGATGGGAAGGGCGCCTGAGTACATGGCACAGTTGTTTGGTTTTGTTTTTTCTTTTAAATCGCAGCACAGTTGTGTTGCACTCATTAAATTGAAGTCCATTACACAACAGCTTAAACAACTAAATCAATATACGGCAGTAGAAGTAGAATTTATGAGGAAGGGTAGAAAGAGGAGAGACCGGAATGATATTACAACGGCCCAATTTTAAACAGGAACTCGAACTTTTTTTGTTTTAGTTTTAGAACATTTGCAACACAAACAGGTCAAATAAATTCCGAGGATTTGGAGAGATACTAGAAAGTAACATAAGAACAGATAGAGGATAAATAAGGACGGTAGATGTGTGACAAGAAAGAAGGACGAATTAACCACACCATAACACCCGGACATGAGAGCAATTTGGTACTTTGGAGGTCGGGGAGAAATCATCCGGGTAATAACAGATTATATTTATGTCCTGTTAGAAATGCATGGTAGGTGGTACGAAAATGTTAGCCTCTTAAATGTAGCAAGAGAGCACCGACAATATAAACATTTTTTTAAAAGTTGATAAGCACAGGTCTAAGCAAACAGAAACCGTAATCCTACCAGGTCAACAGTGCTATGCGCGCCTGACAAGCCCATTGAAAAAGGTGACGAGTAAGCAATGCAGGAGACTACGATCCAAAACAGGGTCCAAATTCCTGACGTCACAACTACAACTCTACAACACCCCCGCTCACATCCAAACCCCGCACCTCGGCCAAGTAACTATGTCTCAACATAGCAAGAAACACCTACTGTTGCCTATTTAAGAGCCAGTTTTGATAAACGACCCGGCCTCTCCATAGATAAGACTGATAAGCCCTGGCCAAAAGAAGAGAAGCAGTGGGACAAAATCTCTACTAACTTGAGAGTTAATGCGGACAAATCTCTCACACCACCACCCCCTCCTTTCCTCCCCCACTCCACATTCCTTCAGATTTACTTAATTAAACTATCTCTACCAGCGTCTGTGGCGGTTAGGCAGGGTTAGGCCCTTCGTCGCCGCACGCAAATGACCCAATTCGATGCCTGGGCAGGGAGGTGGCCCCGGCAGACTGAGTCGAAGCCCGCCTCACAAATGATCTAAACTGTGTTGATGGTGGTGTAAAAATCACATACATTTAAAAACAGAACGAAAGAAAAAAGCAGGAAAAAGAAGAAGATTGGAATGCAGGGTTGAGGATGACTCAGCCAGACAAGAGCCACGGCGCCACCACGGTCGACTAAGTAAGCACGGCACGTCTTCACGAAGAAGGTGAGGGTAGTAACTTCATGGGACACGGATCGCCGCAACTGCACAATCATTCTGTAGGTAAGCCAGCTAGCAATCTGGTTTGTGCGTTCTTTCCATGTTCTGTTTCTCTTCCGAAGGACGTACATGTATTCTTTTCTTTTTGTTTTGTCTCCACAGAACGTAGCATCATCCCTTGCCTGAAAGGCAGGTGTCCTTTATCAACAGTAACAAAGGAGTAGTTTTTTTAAAGTTTTAGTAGAGTTTTACGGCACTTGCAACACAATAAGGTCATATAAGTACCGAAGATTAAAGGTGTTACAAGAGAGTAACCAACACAGAAAAGAAGTAGGAGAAATCAGGACGATAGATGTTTGATAGGAAAGAAGGAGCAAACCACACCAGAGCACCCGCCAACCACCCGCGGTTAACTTGGGGGAAAGACAGATTCAAATCAACAGAATAAGCTAAAACGACGTTATAAAACAACAATAACAATAACAACAACAGCAGCTACAAAACAGCACAAAGGCAAGGGAAATGTGCATCAAAATCACTTTAAAATTTGCCTCGTGCACCTGTCGAACTGTTGCGTGGACTCTCCTTTTGACCTTTAGTTCAGACAAGTTCAGGACAAAAGCACTGTCGCAAAGTTCCATTTCAACATCTTTCACAGACACGTAGAGAAAATAAAATAGAGG